TATATATATATACATATATATAGTATTTAAGAATTCCCTCTTTTCGTTTTCTTCTGAATCATTAACAGAGTACAAAGTACGTGTAGCAGCTAAATTTTTTTATTTTTTTATTATAAGGGAATAAAAATATAAACGGTAAATCGGATATTGTGAAGTTTTTTTACGAATTAAGTCATATTGAATGCTTCCGGCATTAATGCCTCTGATCGTATATTTTAACACAAATAATTGATACAATGGCGACAATATACAATTTACAAGCAGAAGTCTATCAAACGTCAAAATACTCATGCACAGATGGGCAATCATGATCGCAATCGTACTGCTTCGCGTTTCCCCGGAAGGGCCGATCAAATGACGATGTTAGCCATGATACTGCCAGGCGTGGCAGTGACATACTACGGCGAAGAAATTGGGATGGTTGATAAGATGGACATATCTTGGACAGATACACAGGATCCTCAAGCGTGTAACGCGGGCAAAGACAAGTACAAAAGTCGGTCTCGCGATCCCGTTCGCACACCATATCAATGGAATTTTTCCACAAATGCAGGTATAACAAATTATGCTAAGTTCTATAACTTTATCTATAAATTTATCTTTATTTTTTAATTTCGTTATCTAAATAAAAATTCAAGAATTCAATACGGCAAATTTAATACGATATAATGGGCAAAAAAATCAAAATATGGTTCAATTTAGATTTTAAAAATTTTCAAGGGTTTTTCAAGTTTCGCTAATTTCGTTTTTAAAATTGAAATTTGTTTGTTCAAAATTTTTTATTTTAAATTAAAAAATGGCGGCGTTACGAAACCGCTATCATTAATACAAATTTTCACGTAAATTGAACGCCAGCTTGTGTCTTCTCTCGGGATCGACCCACAAAGTGACTTCTCGAATTTCTCCGAGTTTTTAAATCTTTGGTTCGTTATTTTGAATTTTGTAATTGTGACTTCAAATTTAGATTCAGCAAGAGACTCAAAAAATTTCTAGAAATTATCCATTTTTTATAATGTTATTAACTCTTGTTTCTCTCTCTCACACAAGCATTTTTGACCCTCGAGCATTTTTTTCGCCCAACATCCCAAGGGGATAATTTTTTATTGACAGGTTTCAGTAAAGCGGCTAAAACTTGGTTACCAGTTCACGACAATTTTATCAATGTAAATTTATTACTACAAAAAAATATTGATGACTCTCACTATCATGTTTATCGCGCTCTGACGCAGCTACGTAATACATCGAACGCACTCAAACTTGGATCATTGACTACTAATGTCATAAATAATACCGTTTTGTATGTTCTACGTAAAACGAGCGAAGAAGCTGTGACATTATTAATAAACTTCTCAGACAAAGAGAAACAAGTGATTGATTTAACGGAAGTCTTAACGGGATTCAAGAACGGTAAAGTTAAAATAGCGAGTGTAGGTTCCGGAATAAAGCAAAAGTAAGTATCGATGTTTAATGACTCATTGATAAATTAAAACGATTAGAATTGCGTATGTACTGCAATAACATATTGTAGTACATTGTAAGAAAAAATTAATTTCTTATTTCTACGTCTTTCAGCCAAGATGTTGAGCTAAACAAAGTTAGTATCCCACCGGCAGGTTCAGTAGTCTTTCTAGCTAACTCTAAAGCTCCACCAAAGTACGTTGCTTCTCTCCCAACAATTCTACTATTATCATTTTCTCTGATAATAACACTGTATAAGTAAAAAATAAAAAAAACATAATTAATATTAACGAGAAATATTTACTTCTTTTACAATCATACAAAAATATTGCAGTAAGAAACTACTCTAATTATATATACTCAAAAGGTATCGTTTGACTTTATTAATTATAATTTCTAATTATATATCAGTATTAAATTCTTCCTTTCACACATATAGAGTGCGCTGCAAGAAACGAATTCAAAAGTATGATATATAAATATATATATCATAAACGTTATAGAGTAGTATGATAATTATACCTTTCAATGTGCATATCTAAAAAGTTGTTCGATTCTTTTTTCTATTTAACGCATCCATGAAAGACTTTTCTGCAACTGCTTAATATAGATATATGAACAGAATAACATTTTTTCCAGACACAAAGTTTATCTTGTCTTTGCGAGCGAATCGATAATTCGTTACACGAACAGCAAAATTGGGAAACCAATTTTTACATCTAATCCCGATTGATGGAAAAATATCTGCATACACGAAAATCTTCATGAGATTGAGAATAGGATCAAGTGTGTGTGTGTGTGTGTGCGTGTGTGTGTGTGTGTAATCTTCAACAAAATAATCTGTCAAGACAAAGGGTACATCTTTCTCCACCGATCATATTTTATCCATCGGTTTTCTTTTTCCTATCATAACGATTTGATAACGATACTTAATTGAATCTGATTAGATGGTGACATTTTAATCTTCAGAGAAATGTGTTATTCTGTTATTTTTTAAAGATTCATTTTTCCGATTCTACAATCAAGTCGTTACAATTAAGGGGATCCTGGAGTCACGGCAATTACCGACATTTCAGTTGGACCAATTTTCTTCGAATTAGCTTTACAGAATGTAAATTCCCTTTACACGTTTAAAATACGTATAGAAATCATGTGCGGGAAATTTAAGACTAAAAACTTAAGAAAAATATGTTTAATACTACTTGGTATTGCACCTTTTGGACCTAGAACTGTCACTTCAAGGAAACGTTCACTTATACAAATTATATAGCTTACGTGTAACAAATTGAAAATGTCCCGCATCTCGGACTCGATCAAAGAACAGCGTGACTGCATCATTGAAACTAAGGTTAAAAGCCTAATAAGAAAGATTTTTCATCCAACTGATTTTATGCATGTATGTACACACAAGCAGTGTACATGGCATTGCAATCTGACAAAGATATCGTAGGATATCTCGTTGGATAAGGACAGAATGATCAAAATTATCGATATTTTTAATTCCGCTTATTGTTAGATGAAGGCGCTTTCCCGTCGGAGTTCGGCCGTCACCCGTCACTCCAGGAACATATATGAATAGATAAATAAGGTATGCCTTGAAAAATGTTTCAAACTCCAAACAGTATACATGTAGGTGGAGAAACATTGAAAGCTGTAATGTGTAAAAACATTGTTATAAATTCCACATTATAATACAGAAATAACGATTTAAATTGCCACAGACGTTTTTTGTAATTTGTCAAATATATGTATCAATATTTTACAGCACGTGAAAATCATATAAAGATTAATTACAACGAAAGACAATTTTCTCAGCTGCCTATATAGGGTTTTACAATACTGCGCCTAATACTGCGCCAGTACTAGGTTATCTATTTCAATATTGAAATTCTTATAGGAAACTCTTGTAAGCTCGTAATAATCGACTGTGAGTGACAAAAGCGCGCGTGTACTATCCATTGAAAATGTTGCAAAAAAATCGCAACTCTCCGAAATAATAAAATATTGACACCGAATAAAATTCAAACTCAACGAAGTTACGAAATTTCTATATTCTTGATTAAGTATATAGAAATATGCCAAAATTTTTTGTATAAAAATGATATTATATAATAATTATAATCTGTCCTGTATATACATATTTCCAACTGATTTTAGGCCTCAAATCATCAATAACGATACGCAAAAATAAAAACAATCGATATTCCAGGATCTCGGGTATTACCTCTTAATATAATACGCGCGCGTGAATAAATTTACGAAATTCGTAACAGCCCGGCATATAATCGCAATTGACGTGGACAATAAACGGACCGCTTATCGGATGGAGTCGTCGCCCCACGGCATCCGTTCTCAACGCCGCGCTTTCAAAGCATGAATTATGCATTTCGCTGGGAACATCGATATTAGGTACTCTTGAACACAAGACGTTCGAACCACACTATTGCAGTAGGAAAATGATTTATTGTCCTCAATCTCTCTAGCGTAAACTTGCAAACTTTTGTCTGCGTAACTGAGATGATCGCTATCGAAAAAATTCGGTTAATTAGACTTAGCTTCATATGCGGTCAAAAGCTGGGTCTAATCAAATAAATCTTAAAAAATTATATATGAAATAGGGGTAGAAAAGACTGAGAAATATAATAAAATTAGAAATAGATTGATATCTCCAAATTTGCGGAAGTTAGAGCAACCACGGACATTTCTAAAAAGATTCAAAATTTTTTTTAAAAAGAACCCCTTTACCGATCATCGCCAAATTCAATAACAACCTTCCTTGAATGATACTCTATCGATTAAAAAAAAAAAAAAAAAAAAAAAAAAAATCCCGATATCTAAAAAATTACGGAAGTTAGAGCATATACAGACGACAACAAAAACATACATACATACATACACACGGACATTTTTTTAAGGCGATATTTCGACGTTTTACAACAATCTGAACATTGGCAAAAAAAACTCAAAAACCAATCTCTTCGTTGGTTTCTTCTACCCCTATTTCATATATAATTTTTTTAAATTTGGTTGACTAAACCCAACTTTACACGCAATCGACGGTTCATATACGAAATTCACGAAAACAAAGCTTCCTCTATGAGGAAGCAAAATATATGTATCAGGAATGGCTAATAAGTCTTTATATATATAAATAATGCCTTTCTTATATTCGCTCTATTTTGATAAATGAGTATTTTGATAAATACTCATATAATACAGAAAAATATCGATGTCACAGATTGCGAGAAACAGCAGAGAAAGTTTTGATATCGTGTTTTAAAAATCTTATATCCTTGCGTAAAAATAAAACTTTAATTCTTCGTTAATAAAATAACGAGAATATGATATAAAGAGCGAAAATAGTTAAGAATTGTTACGAGAAAAATAAAAAAAAGATCAGCGAGATCACTGAGAAAATAAAACTCTACTAACATTGCGCTAAAAATTTTTTTAAATATGCAATGTTAGTAATATATTGTCGTATCGTAAAAATTAAAAAAAGTTTCAAGTAAAAATTATAATTATAAGCCCGACTTCCGTGACGAGTCAAACAAATTTGTTGTGTTACATATATATATGTACGTGTTATGTGACTGTAGCAAATATTAATTTTATGTCTAAAGGCCCTTGCACAATGCCAGACAACAGGCAATAGAAACAGGAAATATAACTAAAGATTCATTAATTATAACTTAAAAAATTCGAATGCTACGATTGGTTGGCAACAGGCAATAGGTACAGAATTTAAATTATCTCCGACTTTTTTTGGGTAGCTTCACGATGCTTTCGACAATATTCGCGGTATATTGTATTTGGGGTACAACAACCAATTAAGATACGTGAGATAATTGTCAGCGAGTTTTAAGAACTTTAGAAACGAAATTAAAGCAACAGAGTTAAAGCAATTAAAGTTGATTTTATCAGACTATTAATATACGTACATTCTAACTATAACTAACAATAACAAGAGATTCTTCTGTGTAATCTTTCTTGTTCATCATAATACAAAATTTGGATAAATATAACGATAAGCTGAGCATCGTTTAGAAATTGCAATGCACGTGAAAAAAGCTCAATGCAAATTGAATACTGCAAATCGGTATATAATTGAAATAAAGCATCACAATTAAATTAATTTCGAGTAAAGCATTGCAAAAAAAGAAATTAAAATTTTGAAGAAAAAACAAAGCGCGATTGAGCACAGTGTCACTCAAGTAGAGCAAATATAATATTTCGACCCTTTTTATATTTCTCTTATTGTTTCTGCTATATGTAGATATTATGCTATTATATCTATATGTTATTATAAAATTTATTTCTAATTCTCGATGTAATTAAAAAATTGCAATATAAAATACCACAATATTATTCGCAATTTAACAGCACTTTTGCACATTACTGTTTAATATTAAAATGTAATAAATAACGTTTTTAACATTTGGAGGCGCGATTTATTTAAATTGCTACAATGTACAGCATTATATGGAATGTAGCATACCTATAACTGAGAGCGTTGAGCAAGAAGTTTCATGGGCTTTGCAAGACAAAGGAAAGGCGAACAATTTAAAGATTTCGTAAGATTTCTAGTAAAACAAATCCCAATGGTGCGACCGACGCGACGCGAACGAAATTGTTTTCCAAGTTTAGTCACAGCAGTTCGCGTAGTCGCGTTTTACGGTCCGACGGGAGTTCGAAGCTCTTACCAGCAGCATTTGGGGCCGGTTGTCGCAGCCTCTTTTCTGCTTCTGCAAGATTTCGTAGTGACATTTTGTCCTCGCCGCCGCCGTCGCTTTGGCAGACATATAAAATACGCTTTGTGGATATATAAGCTACTTTGAGATTTCCTACGCTATCCTAAAATAGTAGGTATCCCTAATAGTCTTTATAATCGATTTCTGTTTGATTTTACGCACTTACTTTTTACAAAGATTTCTCAGAACTGCCAAACATATAATATTTGATATTTAGAATATTTATATCTATATAAATTTATAAAAAACATTAATTATTTCTCCATGTGAAGTTGAATAGACAGCAAAATTCGACAGTTTATATTTTTTATAAAATATCTTTTTTCAACTGTCTCACGTATATCTCTCTTAAAAGTAGAAAATAAATAATTTGTTAGTGTTCTATCACAAAATATATGTCATTTAGACTTTTTGCGTATCATTCCTAATGGATCGTTCAATATCATCCAATTAATAACTCGCGAGTGCAAGTATAGGCAGAGTAAGCGTCAATGCTATCTCACACAATAGATATTGCTAAATTGAAGGGAGTTTTATTCCTGAAATAATAGAAGAATTCATCGAAGCGTAATAGAGCACGTGCGCTGATCTCTTCTAGTAGCCTAGTAGCGGTGCTTCTCGAAACAGACAAAAATTAAATCTGGTATGATTTAAAACCAAGTCAGACAATTAGGAACTTTTTTCTTTAATAAGATAATCAAAGATAATTTTTGTGTCAATATTAGACGAAAAGTGAAATGTAAATCGAGATGCGAGCGTATCGAATGTGATCTCATTCCAATCGTATCGAAATTATTTTGTGCGCTGTTAATCTACGTGTCCTACGTTGACGAGCAACAGCGCAATCAATAATTTGCAAGGACTCGTTAGAGAGAATTGGTGGAAAACAAAAAAGCAATTTACATGACTCTTCATTTTGGATGTTAAATGATTTTTTCACTCATAAATAATTATTGATTCAAATTTTAAAAAATATTCAAATTTTTAAAATATTGTTTAAATAAAACTGTCATGTCTCTGTATGCGTCATGATGGCAAGAAAAGTAATCAAAGCTTCCTTAAAAAAAAAAGGCCAAATAAACTCGTTGAAACAAGTGTGTGTGTGTGAAGCTGGCATATCATTTCGCGGAAAATTATTAATTATTGAGAGTTCTGGGTCTATTCTCAATAGTTCTATAGTTCCTGATTTCGAAGGATTGGCGGTGTGGACGCAGGCCAGCAGAGGGTCGGCGGAGGATCAACGAAGGATCGGCGGAGGAACTGTCGAAAATCAGCCAGCGTTTCACCCATATACCCGTAAATGCGGCTTTCTCGGGCTATGAAAATTATTTGAAAATAAAAAAAAAAAAAAACAATTTTTATCGCCAGAACTCTTCCTAGAACTCATGTAGAATCACTATAAATCTTTTAAAATCTGACAAATACTGTACCGGAAACTTTCGCAGGACAAAATGAGACGTGCTGCGTGAAAAACGCAAATAAAAAGTTAATTGATAGAATACATATATCAGAAGTAACGGATGCGCGCAAAATGATACAATAAGCTAGCTTAATTAATGGAGCGCGAACAATGAATTTCTTCCTATCGAAGTTCAGCGATTTCAAAACGATATCCATGGCATCTATCTTGCTTTCTCATTCACTTTTCCTACCAAACATTGATTAGTACCTAACTATATCTTTCTGATGATTTTTTTATTACGATCCGATGTATAAGTATGTATATTCTTTCGAATTGAAATTGAATTAAATCAAACGAGTAAAAAAAATTGCAAATAGTATATAATATTTACGAAAAAATGATAGACCTCTTGAAATTACAAACATTTTTTGAGCGTCATAATAATGAACAACTACTGTATTCATTCTGTTCGATAGACATAAATGATGCAAGTGTAATATGAGAGGAACAATTAACTCACCGACTAAAACGCGACGTTTATGTGCAATCGATTGAATAAGTGGATGTTAACGGATATATGTAAATATTGAAAGACTGTTACAATGATATTTAGACCGTGAGCAATTAATGTCATTCTCTATTCTCTGTGACTCGGTGATAAAAGAATGAGTGTCTATCTATACTCTTTATCCATCAATTTTATAACACTTATTTGTACATATATTGTAGATAAATATTGTAGATGCATATAGAAATAGAGAAAATGATAGAGAGATAAAGAGAAATAGAGACAGATAGAGTGAAAGAATATTAAATAATAATTACAAATTTTGGATTATGAAATTAATTTTGAAGTTCTTACTGAGCACAACACACATTCTTGCCGAATTATTATAACTTAATGCTATTATAATAGCTATAATACATATGTTACCGCCGCAATGTTTTTGCAATGGCTAATATTAAAGAAAATTGATGGACAATGTAGTGATTTGTGCATGATAACAGAGATCGCGAGAATGGAAATAGAACATCAACCTTCTCTTCCGCCGAATGTCATGGGATTAATTAAACCCGCAAATTGGAGACGCTGCGGCAATTCTATTACATCCCTCGACTCATATTAGAGAAAACGAAGAGACGCTCAAAGAAATTTAATCACAC